TCTGCCTTAAAATTGGCACAGCCAAACCCCTGGCTAGAAAACTATAAATTTCCCTCAAATAGGCATTGACGCCAATGCCCATAACTGCAGAATATGCAATGTAAAAGTCCCCTTTTGACTTACTTCTCATTTCTCTAAAATCTGATAGATGTAAATCATTCATTTTCATAAAGAGATCAACAAACCTCTCCACATTAGTTCAATCTGACCTCATTTAGTCCTGTTCCCAGGAAAAGAAGGCTTTTGGAAATATATATTGTTTTATCCTTACTGTTAAATATGACCCTTTGGTTTCTTTGTTGTTTGGCATGTAAGAAGAGTCTTTTCAGACCACTGAATTGTCACATAACTCTTGGAATTTAATAGGTAGGAGAATAAGGTTGGAAATAGTGTATATGATATTGTTGTGCAGATGAAATGATAAATGAATATGATTTTTATTGGGAAATAACTGTTTTATTTAACTATTCATATTACAACTGGAGGCCCAAACTAGAAATTGTTTTAATTCACAATTTCTGCACATCATTGATCATATCTGATGATATTTCTGAGACTAATGATTGAAAAGAGTTTTCCTTACTCTGTTAAAGTCCACAATTATTGCTACAGTTCTAACAAGCTCTTTGATCTAAGGTGACCGTATCGCTAGTGCTAACGTGGTCTTACTTTTCTTTACTCGACACTGACCTCTTTTAGTTTTGATAACAGGACCCGCCGGTAGTGATTCATGTTTTAAAAAAAAACTTGTGAAACAAAACATAAACTTTAAAATTGAAGTACATTGCAAGAGCAGTACAGTTGGAACTCTAGAAAACGTTCACAGGAAATTGAGTACTTCAAATGATTAACGACAACTTGAGATAGCAATGACACGTTAAAAGTGTAACATCCAACTTATTAGTGCTCTTCGACAGGCCTCTTGCATTCTTCACAAATAACATCATCTACATCAATCGCCCAAACAATTACAAGACAAGACTCGGAGTCGTCTGTACAATCTTTTGCTTTTGAAAATAACTTCCTTCCACTCACCACACAACAATTTTAAGACTTTGCCGCTTCCATCTAAGTTCAGAGGAAAAAATGACAAGAAAAGTCGTCTCAAATACTCGATCCATTGTTGTTTTCCGGCGTATTTTCCTGCTTCTTTCCTTTCGCGATTCTTGAGCGGAAAACTGACGCAGGCGCATACCAGCGGTTTCTAGCATCAAACTAAAATTTATAGAACATGCGCAAAAAAAATGCCCCTCTATTTACATCTACATCTACTTTTATTATTAGATCTACATCTACTTTTATTATTAGATCTACATCTACTTTTATTACGTTGGTAAAATCTGTACAGACATCACACCAACCAACTCGCGCGCAAACTGAGAAGACAAAATGAAGGCTTGAAATTATATTACGATCGATTTTCATCGAGAAATGGACCAGGAATATCCAACAATAGTGTAAATAATCGTGAAAGCTAATCGCGGAAAAGCGATTGCGTGACGCTCGGTAAGTTGTAAGATGACATGTTATCACATACCAGACGAAAAAACTCTTTAGATTCTCAGTCTGCATTTTGTACCCACTCTGTAGCCTACATTTTGTACCAAGTCCACATTTTGTATCCGGTCTGCAGTCTGCATTTTGTACTAATAGGTATCCGTGGCACCAATACAGTTTACTTTTGGTTTCAGTTATTCGCACAACACACGCAATCTACCTGTGTGTGTGAGTTAATTCGACATTTTCGTTCTTTGCCGCGTTAATACTCTTCTTTCCTTTTGTAAGAATGTAGACATCACTTACAATGTTTCAAGTAATCCACCCATCCCCAAAAAATAACTCTTACATGCACAGCATGCCTTTGTTTTGATCTGTTCTTCATTGCTCAGTTATGGGAGTTTTTCGTCGCTCAGACTAATCTGCATGCAAATCAGAAATGAGGAGCTACAGAAAAGTCTGTGTGGTATCCAGTGTCTGTGGAAGAAACAAAAGGTTGGGTTGCTATTTATTTGTGTATGGGAATTATTAATAAGCCAAATATCCCTTCCAACTGGAATACTGCCCCCATTCTTTGGTGCCATAATGTCAAGAACAAGATAACTTCAGAAAGGTACTTTTGACTTGCATGCATGACAAGTGAAGATGATTCTGGTGTTGTGGAAAGATCAGTGAAGGTAAATGGCCACTGGGTGAAGCAAAACTTTGCCTGCCCTTGTATGGTTAGTCTGTACAATGCTTACATGGGTGGTGTGGATGTCTCAGATCAGAGAGTCAGCTTGAATGTAAGGCTAATGAGAGGTGCTGTGTGGTATTTTTTTCTATCTCATAGAAGTATATGTTTCAAATGCACACATTTTGGAAAGAAAATCTCCAAATCATACCACCAGAACTGCTTTAGACTTCAGAAAGTCATTGATAAGTGACTTGATTGAAGGAAAGTCCTTCAGGAGAGACACTCAAATGCGGCTGCCACCCACTCCTAAAATTAGATTTAATCAAGAACACTTTCACCACCTGGTGAGCAATGACAAAAGATCTACTTGCAAGGTTCACCTACA